GTCACAAGGAATAAGGCCCACTATACCATTATTCAGATTGGATCATTTTCTTTTTGTATGGGTGGTCTCCTAGGTCCATCATAGCAAAGTCAAGCTCTATGTTCTGGATCATCAGGTACCCTAGCCTTATATAGAGTAGGACCACGACCCCCTACCCTAGTCTAGGGTAACCTCGTGGATCATTTAATATCCTAAGTCCGTTATAGCAGAGTCAAGCTCTACGCTCTGGATCATCAGGATTTTTTCTCCTAGGTTTGTCCTAGCAGAGTCAAGCTTAACGTTTTGGATCATCAAGACTTCTTAGACCTTTTCACGGTAGGACCATGTCCCCCTACCATAATTTAAGATATATCTCGCAGATGTGATGTATGTCAATACACATGCTGCTTTAAATTTATTTCAATCAACATTCCCACATATGCATGCATACTCTTTCACAATGCTGCTACTCTATTAGTTCACAATGCAATGTACATAGTTATATTAAAATACTTGTAAATAATTTTATAAACAAACAGGTAAAAATTTTACTCTAGTTACCATTAACCCTTGCTATTAAGGGTTACCAATCACACTAAGCTCCCAAAGGTGCAGATTCTCATGAGAAACTTCATAGGTGCTCAATCTATATAACACAATGCCTCTCAGCCAATTTCCATCACATTTCATAGGTATTGATTTGGCTAAACCAAATCCCTTAACGTATAAAACAGTTCAATTGAACCCTTTACAATTCAAACAACCATAACAATCTCCCAACACATCACTCAACTAAAATTTTGCCATTTAACCTAACTTTTTGGCCATTTTAAGTCTAAATCCTCAAAGCTCAACCATTCAACTCTATACTAGTCATAAAACCTTAGTTTGTATTTGATATCTCATTTTAAACCTCCTTTTTGGATTACAACACCTTAGAATCTCATGATTCGATTTCTCAACCAATGAAATTCAATGAAAAGAGGTAGAATTAAAGCTTGGGATTACACGATATTTACCCAGCAAGTTATTAATCGAAGCAGACTCTCGAGCTTCAAATATTGCTTGCCCTAGTAGAGATGGGTTCCTCTACCCCTCTAAATGTGTCTCTAGCTTTCTCCCTTCTATTTTCATGAGCTGTTCACGTTAACTTTAAGTGATTCCTAGATAGTGCGCCATGACGTGTGGCACATTAAGAAAATTCTCACTTGTGCTTGCACATTATGCCTTGAATTGTCTTTTTACCCTTTAATCCTATCAATGTAACACCCAAACAATACAAAATATCAACTCAACATCCAAATCAAAATCAATCTGCTAATTACTAATTTACCCCTGATTAGCAACTAGTTCCTAGGATTGAAATTCAAAATGTTACATAATACCCTCCAATATATATATATATATATATATTTATACACTCCAAATACAATTCCATTTTGATACACATAATGTACATAAGATTTTATAAGTAAATAGGTATCGTATGATGTAATAAAATATATATAAGTAGTAGTAATAACAATAATAATAATAATAAAATAAATATATACATAAAGAATAAATATAGGATTCCTTTAAGAATTTTGGAAGATTTATATGTTCCTTGTATTTTACAGAATACTGATCAAGATACTAATTATTTAATTTCCAAGTTTTAGTATTAAAAAAAAGAAAAGGGGGTGGATGCCATATAAAAAAAAAAAAAGGGAAGAAAAAGAAGAAGAAGCATATGATGTGACCAGAAAAAAATATGATAAGATAAGAAGTTAAAACAAAGGAAAGGAAAAAAAACATGTGAAAGAAGATAGCCTTGAGATTTTGGATGAGGTCAACCAAAAGGAAACAATAGTATATGGTAATTTAACTTTGCCCTATCTATTCATTTGAGCACGATAACCACTCACATCTTGCCTATAAATAGCAACCTGGGAGAAGGAAAAAAAATGAGAGAGTGGGAGAGCTGGGAAGGAAAAGAAAAGGAGAGAGAAGAAAAGAGAAAAGAGAAAATACAATAAAATCTTTCCTAAAAAATATTTTATATCTTTTAATTTGTATTGAAATAATATGTTTATTTTTTAGCTAATATGTTTGTTCAATATCTATCAAAATTCTCTTATTTGTTATCCTGGTGCTCTTATATATATTTTAATTACACAACCACACACATATTTAGGCTAATATATATATATATATATATATATATCTTCTTTATAGGCTTGTTCCATTATTTTCATAATTTTTTTTGGACAGTTAGGTGATATATGTCTTAATTTTTCATAATTGCAACATTTATATTTTTTGGGCCTTTTGTTATAATTTATTCTTCTTTTCCCTTTTCTTTTAAAGAATTTTCTTAGTTTATATCTCCTATATTTTTTATAATATTTATTTTTTGGATATTCTTTAAATTTGATTTTTAATCTTCTTTTCCTTATCATAAATTAGGAGGAATAAAACTATCATCAGGATCAAGAACAATAAGTATTACAGCTATGATAGGATTAGTATTTACAAACAAACATAAAATTTATAAAATAAATAAAGAAAAATTAACAATTGATAAATATTTGATGCCAGTATTACAAGAAATTGAGTTAGATCTAACAAAAATAACTATACCTGAATAATTAAGATTAGAAATAGATAATACTATACATTATTTTGAAAAAAATAATTCACAAAGATTAATAACAAATGATATTATAGGACAAAAATCATTAAGAATAGATACACCTACTCGAAATATAAAAATAATGGAACAAGCTTATAAAAAAGATTTAGAATCTATAGGATATGATGAAAAATTATCTAAAATAAAAAATAAATTAGATAAATTAGATACAAAAATTTTTAAACTAAAAATAATAAGTGAAACTGAAATGAAAAATAGTGAATTAGAAAATGAAACCTGTTATATGTATATGATGAATAGGATAGAAGATGAACCTGAAAGTAGTAAATTAAAAAATGGTGCCATTTTTCTTTGTTTTTCTCACTTTTTGACATTTGGGTAACCCGACTTCACTTCGAACTCAATATCCTAGAACTAAAATTACAACCCCAAACATTTGTTAACTCTCTGTAACCACACATCGCGTTAATTTACTTAATTAATCTCATTTATTTAGCTAATTATGGGTTAAATTCTCTAGAATGTTAGAACACCACTCTTTGTGCCATGGCCTCCACTATTTATGCAACAGCCACCACCATTCATGCAACAGCCATCTACGTTGATGTCTTTGCTGCCGTCACCTTTTTATATGTAGCTCACTTCAATGAGGATGATACCTCTAAACATGCCCAATGGGCATAATTAGATATTTTAAAAATGTATATATGGATTTTTTTTTGGTGTATTATGTTAGGGGATACTCTGGTATATTTTTAATGTAAGTACAAAATCCCCTTCTCCCATACTTGTTAGGAATGCCTAGAAAACCCACAAGTTGACCCGATATAATTTGACTATATGTAAATATATATATATATATATATATATATGATATTCCCTAAATGTGTGCAGGAATAGTCCTTCATGACTTAATTTGTAGTTTAATTTTTGTTCCTTTAAATATGGTATTATAAAAAAAATTGTACAATCCCCTTTAACTTTTAGATAAATCTAATTGATGATAATAACGTCAAAACAAATACAAAAATATTCCAAACTTGCTAACCAATCAAACCATCCTGAGGGGGAGGGGGATATATAAGGGAGAATCTATAGTTCATAGGTGGGACATAATACCTTCGACTGGGTGATACTACTACTAAAGATGTGCTCAAATCAATATACACGATTCATCCAGTGGAGCTTATGGGTTTAGTTAGGGGATATGGAGGATTGGATAGATAGGATGATCATGTGAGAGTGTAAAAATTAATTTAAAAGAAAAATGGATGTGTATATGTGAATATATGAATGAGAATAATGATATAATAGTTTTGTTTATTGTTTATAGTTATTCCTGTTAATAGATAATTTTGAATTATTTTGGTTATTGAGATATTTATCTCACCTGATGGTTACTATTTTACAATACCTATGACTGGAAGCAACTAAGGGAAAGATTGAGGCTAGTGGAAGGATATTCACTATATAGCCTCTTGAGTTTGTGTAATGAAATTATTTTGTTGTAAATATAGTAATGTTTATAAGTTGCCATAGATGCATTTACATATAGCGTTTGATGCACTTGTGCATTCATGTGTGGGTTTTAGCCATGGAGTGTGTAAATGTGTGAAATGATACAAACTATGAAAAAGGGGTTAAGATGCTAGTGCAAGTACATGATTGTATAGTCTGTATTGATGAGTATGAGGAATTTGGTTATATGTGAATTTATGAAAGAGGGCCCCACCATGCAAAAAGAGCGAATTAGTGGCCGAATGGTAAGTTAGAAGTCTTGAGGACTTCTAATTACCAAATGTGGTATAAATCGTAACGTTAGGGAGGACATTATTGCTTTCCACATAATTCTACATGTATCTATGAGATTGAGTATGAAATTATGTTTGCTCATTTGAAATGGAGTATTTGTTTCCCTCCTTTTCCTGCTAGAATTCTTGTATTTTATATATTCATACGATTGAGTCCTTGGGCTTCCAAAATAATAAAAAGAAGTGCTTCAAATTATTGTTTTTTGACTTAGATCGATTTTAAAAAAGTTGAAGCATTTCAAATTGTTTGTTGACACAAAAAAAATTAAAGAAAACCTTTGAAATCATTTCATTATTGGATCTTGGACATATTATAATTTTAAATTGAATCTTTTTAAAAAGAAGATCTTTTACCATGGCCTATTTCAATTTCCTAATAAAATTTTAATTATTGAATTAGCCATGCACTTTACGTGTTTTTAGCCATTTACATGGCATCATCAAATGATATAAATTTTAAAAAAAAATTGTTAATTTAAAATAAGAATAATCACATCTAAAAAACTGACAACAAAATTATTTATCGATAAAGATCAATATAAACTTGTTTCTTAAATGGAAGTTTTTATTCCTTCCAATTTCCTGGAATGTCTATCTCCCGAGGCATTTGTTCGAATTCTCAAAGTGACCAGGCCGCTCATGCCAATTTTTGGTATTGCGTTCCTCTTAGTCGCATGAAATGGATGAATTGATTGATTGATTGTTATTTTTCCCAAGTCCGGGAGGGGTAACAAGAAATCTAAGGCTCCTCCTAAATCAAAATTCACCGGCGGCTCTCAGGATTTGTATTTCAGAAGTTCTCTTCTCCGATACTGCGGTGGGGAGAAAAGATTGATGGAAGTTGACAAGAGAAGAATGGGTGGTGGCAACAACATAAGCTCAGTATTCTATGCAGACTCATACCATCCCATTCAAGCTGGCAGCATAGACGGGACAGATATTCTTCCTCACGATAATGCTGTTTATCGAGCTCTTCTCTGTTCCTCTGCTGGCCTCTGTATTATCTATCTTCCCCTTTCTTCTTCTGAATTTTCTCCTCCAATTTTCCTTATCATCTTCCTAATTCGTTTTTGCAGACGACCCATTTGGCGATCCCAAGGCCACGGGCGACCCATATTGCACTGTCTTCGTAGGCCGCCTCTCTCGCCTCACCACAGAAGAAACCCTTCGCAAAGTAAACATTCTGCTCTGTTTGTGCCCCCCTTGAAAATGGTCATCGCCAACTACTAATTCTGAAGACGTTCGATTTTTTGTTTCTTTTAGTTTCGAACAGAAATTAATATGTTCATTCAAATTAAGATAAACTAGAGCGACTCCGTGCATTAGTGTGTTTTCTTATAATTTTTATAGATATCTATATTGATAGAAATAAAACGAAAATTATTGCAACTAGATTGTGCATTATCAAGACGTTGGTTTGTTCCTTCTAAAGCAGTAATACAAGACAATAATATTCACTTCAAGCATGGCATCACTCTCACATTCTATGATAGTGAGTTATCTCTCTGATGAACCAGGATGTGCGTTGGGCCTGAGTGAGCATCATGGACTCAATTGAATGTTTTAAATGTATGAGTTTCTTTGCGGAACTGACCTTTGTGGACTGCAGAAATTTTAGACATTAAGATTTTATGACATATTAATAATGGAAAATGAACGAGACTGGTAAATATTTCTCTTACCTGGGAAGTGGATGATCAATTTGGGAATATTAGAAGAGTGAAAGAGACTTTCAAGGGACCAAATGATTTTATATAATTCTTTGTGCTACTTAGCTAGAATGCAAGCTCCCATGGAGAAATAAGAAGATTTGCAATGTAATGCTTCCTCAAATATTTTTTATAAATGGTACAGAATGGGCTTGGTGAGATTAAAGCTTTATTCATTAGATTCATATCACTCTTAAAGACTAAGGTTGAATCTGTGTTAGTATTAGTTCAATGGCAATGAGTTTGATTAATTCTCACCCTGGGCTATGCCTTGAATTCCTTGGCACTACATGTTTTCCAAACCAGATTTAATGGCCAATGTGCATTGCTCAGAATCATGCATTGATACCTTCATTTGAGAATTCACATGACGTGTACAGTCTACTGGGTCATGGTGAATTGGCTTTTAGCATGCCTTCTTGGAACATCTTGTGGTTCAAACTTCTAAATGTGTTAAATGTGCTATCTTGAGCAAGTCAAATTATTTCCACAACTAGTTTCTCGTTTGAAAGTCTCACAAACGACTGATGCATTATACATGGGTTAATCTCTTAGCAGTACATCTCATATACTGGTGCTTTTCCTTTTTGTTTGATTAATAATAGTTCCTCCGATGTACATCTACTAGTGAATTTTGGTTTTCCTGTCATAAGTATGATTGTAAAGATGACTTAATATATGCGTACATGCCAGAATAAGTATTGGACATTTTCTGTCTTTTGTTTAAACAACTCAGCCCCTCCCTGGGTTTGTTTGCTTTGTTTGGTTTTTATGGTTTTCTTTTTTTGTCATAAAAAGTTGAGCCTTATATATATATATATATATTTAAAATATTTCCCTAGAAGTTTCATTCAGGCAAGTTACCTTATAAATGCAAATCAGGTTATGTATTTAGCATTAGGATGTTTGCATTTGTGTTTTTTATTTTCTTAGTTGCAGATTGATTATCCTCAACATTTTTTCTGTCTAATACAATTTCTTCATCTGAAGGAAATATATGATTTTGGCCTTTCAGGTTATGAGCAAGTATGGTCGGGTGAAGAACTTACGCTTGGTTAGGGATATTGGTAATATTTTATAACTATTTTAGACCCTCTTTGGTTGTCAATATTTTGTAATAAATTATTGTGATTTTAGAAAATAGCATTTCAGATTTGAGGACATCTTTTATCATTGCTATGCCATTTGAGAACTAGTTAATATGTAAAGTCTCTAAGGAGATAATTATTTTGAAATTAACATAAACTACTGTGGATAAAATTAGTGCATGCGAATTTATCAATTATCATACATGAGTGGGAGCTTTTGATGTGTGCTTGTCTTTCCCTTTCTTCAAATGAAGTTGATTAGTTAGCAAAGATGGTGGAGAAGGCTGCTTCTTACTCTGATGTTCAGTTATCGAATGATTTATGCTTGATCAGTGGTTTATTTATTTGCAGCATCTTGTTTAGTCAAACTTTTGTTTCAAACTCCCACCAATTGTTTATTTGTTTTATGCATTTGTATTTGGAATATGTAGGTTGTGATCACTCTTTTAGAAATTCTATTGTCAAGGCATTGGAATTTTACCTTCTTAAATTTCCTGGCTTTCATTGTAGTAACTGGAGCCTCCCGTGGCTATGCTTTTGTTGAGTATGAAACTGAAAGTGAGATGCGGCGTGCTTATGAGGTACTTTAACTTGTTACATCTTATCAAAATTGAGCAATCAATGAATGTTTACTTTTAATCTGAAATATGTACTGCTTTATCAATGTTTTTTTGGGTAGTTCTAGCAGAAACAGAATTTCAATTTCAGAGCTTGTCTCCAACCATATTCATTTTGTGGTAATATCCTAAATAAGTCAACACATGGAAGAAATGAGATTGAAGAAAAAGGAAATTGCATTAGTGGAAAACGTGCATGAATCTTTTACACGATTAACTCTGATAACAAGTCCTCTTGGAGCGGACTAGGCTTCAGATACGAAGTAGTTAAGTTTTTCTAATGCTTTGTACACTTCGTAGACTCCTATTTATAACATTAAATAAAATTAAAATGCAATTTATAAAATTGAATACTAAAAGCAAGGAAAGCATAAAAGCAGTGTGCAAATCATGCTACAGAAGATAGCTATTTACCCAACCCCTCCGGCCCTAAAAAAAGAAAAATACGCGATATTTCTTCAACTGAAATGTAACTGCTTTAGCCCACTGTGTCGGTGCTGGAAACCCCCCTACTCTTATTCCCACGTTTCAGCCTCAAGTCTTTAATAATTGTTGCTGTTACGGGCTTGTATCATATTGGCTGGGACAACCACGGGTGATGTGCAGTGCATGTAGAGACTTGTATCAGTTGATACAATTTTGACCTTCCTTTTTCAATAAACAAACTCAAACTTCTTGATTTGCTGTATAGGCTCTTTGGAGCTTCCAGTAGATTTGGAAACTGTAATGGAATATATTAATATTACACTTAACCACTTCAAAACCCCAATGCTCATGCTGCTTTTAGCCTTCTTTTCTTCTTTTGCCTTCTTTAATGCGAGATTCTGCCCCTCAACTTGATAGGCAAAATCCATTAACTGTTTCAATGTTTTGGGATTTTCCAACCGTACTTTTGCTTTGATTTCTTCACTCAAGATATTTTTAAAAATATGCATCAAAACCTCTTCTTGAATATTATTAAGTGGTGCAGGGGGCATTTCAAATTGCTCCCTGAACTCTGATAGAACCCATTTGCTTCAGGGCAGCCAGCTGCTCATAGTTGTCTCCAGTTTGGTGACAATGAAAACGCTTTAGTACCTCCTGCTTAAATTCTCTCTAAGGATGGATAGGGGAGCGAGCTCCACTTATTGAAACCTGTTAAGAGCTTTCCCTTCAAGACCCACTATAGTACCATCCACCTTTTCATCGTCTACTATGCTATTAGCTGAGAAATAGTGCTCCCTTTTGAATTACCACCCAATGGGATCCTCACTCAAAAACAATGGTAGCTCAAGATGCCTGTGGTTCTGCCCCTCCTTTGTTCCCCCAACTTCATGAGTCCTTCTAGTGGCATTTTCTTTGGCTATCCTTCCTTTGTTGCTGCTTAATTAATTTGAAACATGTAATATTGTGGTGAATATTTTTAGGCAATGCAGCATCATACTGAACTATTGATTCCTGAAGTTTGTGTTTTATAATTATATATTTATTATAACCTCAATCTTGACCTGCAGCTTTAATAGCTTTGGTCAACCTGGGCCAGTAAATAAGTGACACAAAGTAGCTGATTGGATAGCCATATATCAAGTACCTCTAAATCATTCTTCTACCCTGTAAAGAGGGGTAGATGAAGACAAAAAAGAACACTTATAAAAGTTGATTGAGATCTCTTAGTTAATAATATTTCTAAAAGTTTGGTTGATGATAGAGCACAATGCCATGTTGCAATCCATATAGCCAATCCCACCTAGTGGGAAAGGCTTCTTGTTGTTTTAGGAATGTTAATATCAGGGATTTTAATTTTCTTCATATGCAGGATGCTCATCATTCTATTATTGATGATTGTGAAATTCTAGTTGATTATAACAGACAGCAGTTGATGCCTGGGTGGATTCCTAGAAGGTTAGGTCAGTTGAAGTAGTACATTCCGTAAGCTTTGATGCTTGTACAGTACTACTGATCCATCTGATTACTTTATGTTCTCTGCTGCAGGTGGTGGCCTTGGTGGTAAGAAGGAATCTGGACAACTTCGTTTTGGGGGAAGGGAAAGGCCATTTCGAGCTCCTCTGTACATTTCGGTTCTTTTTATGTTTAAGCTCTTGGATTCAATAGTTCACGCTATGAACTATTAACACATATTTTTTAGTAAGGGCAAGACTTATATACTCACTCTTATATATTTAATATACTTTCATCCAATCAAATCAAGGCATGTGGATTTTAATTTGTTAATATTAATAACAAAAATTTATTATAGAATAAATAATCTATAATAGATACACATGTCTTGATTTAATTAGAAACAAGCACTTTAAATATATAAGCTTAAGTATATAAGCTTTCCTTTTTAGTAATTAGCTCTCTCTCTCTCTCTGAGTAACTCATTACATGATGGTGTTATATTGAAGTAGTAATGACACTAATGTAACTTAAACATTCTGACACTACATTTATATAATTAGGAGTCAGTGTTTAACTTTAGTTAAACTTTGTAAGAAATGTTTAAATAGTTCTAATATTCATTTTTTATCAGAAAATATATTGAATGCCACCTGTCAAAGGGAAAAAAAAAAAAGGTATAGGCTAGGCAAGTGGAACTTTAGTTTTTTCCTCTTGTAATTGATAGAATCAAGTTCCTTTTATCCTCTAGTTATGGGAACAAATGCTAGAAATCATAATTTATCTGAAGCCAATTATTTTATATTTCTCTTGATACTCAACTAGCTCAGACATTTCATGCAGTTTATTGTTAAGTGTTCTTGGATATGGATTTAGAGGCCCACACGGCCATAGCCAGTATTGCAAACCCAGTTTACACTGAATGCGTGTTTGGCTGGTTTTATTAAAATGGGTTTGGCATCTCAAATCTTAAGTTTTCTCAACACAAGTAGGTTGCTTTTGCTAAATTGTATTTTCGACACTAAGTTTTCCCTCCGCCATTTTTTACAACTGATACCCAAACATGCACCAAGTCTATAAGAAATAATGGAATTGACATGCATCAAATAAGTGCATTCCGAGGCTTTTTCTTTTCATAGTATTTTGGTCCTGTATATACTCTTCAAGTATTTTGTATCCCTATTTGGGTTTATTTCCAGTTTTGAAGTCATTGGTCAAATTAGAAGATTTACTTGTTAAATAAAAGAACTACTTCATAGTGATTCAAATATAAAAATACAAATGGAAAGATGAAGTCTAAGAATGAAATGGGTGGAAGGGAGGAAAATGATTTTTAGAGGTGGATTGTGTATTGAAGGATTAAGCTCCTTACAGTGATTAAATGGTGCAAGAAAACTCGGATATTGTGAATCTTGGCTTTATTTTATAGGGATTCTTATTCAAAAATACCTCACTTATTGATTGAACCAATAATTTTCGAAACAATTAAGAATATTTGTTCTCAATCTAAAATGTTTGATTGGTGTGTACTTGGGTAGGATATAGCATCATTCTGGTCAAATTAATCTCTATAGCCTTTATTCTGTTGATTGACTTGTGGCTTTATTGATTTAAATTATAAATTCATTTCTTCAATGTATCCAGGAGACCAATACCATACAAGGATTTGGAGAGGCTTGGCATTCCACCACCTCCTGAAGGAAGATACATGTCACGCTTTCAGGTGATTTTATTTTGCAATTTGTATATAATCTTTTAGGATATTGATCCCCAAATGGATAAATATTTGACCCAGCATTATCATTTGTCTACTAGTATTTTTATTTTTCACATTTTTGTTTTCCTGTTTACTGTTACTGCTGAAAAACCAGTGGTTATCGATAGTTTGTTCAATCAATATATAGTTTTCCAAACCAAAATATCCAAATTGTAACTTCCTCGATTAATTTCTTTCATGTCTTGTATGATTGAAGATCCCATCACCTCCTGGAATTAAAAAGGGTGATCTAGACAGGGAAGAAGGCTCTCGTAGAAGGAGTTCAAATAATAGGATCGAAGGTGCCATCAAATCTCTTGCTGATGGGAATTGTAAGGGTAATTCAATTCACCGAGAGGACTATGCTCATCAAAGGAGCTATGTGGAAAGGAGAGAGGAGAGAGATGGGCATTACTATTGTAGGAGTTTCTCTGACAAGGAGCGTCATTCCAGGAGATCTGATGAAAGGAGGGAACACTCTCGGAAAAGGAAAGAAAGAGACGAACACTCTACAAGGAGGCCAAAATGTGGCCGTCATTCTCATCGTGACGAATAATGGTCAATTCTTCATCATCCAACCTCTGTACAGTTCATTCAAGGTGAGATATATGGTGCTGAGTATGGAAACTTAGGTTAACCTATTCAGCTGAACCAATAAGCCGTTACACTATCACTTTGACCAGTTTAATAAAATGTTTTGTTTACAACTAGTTTGATCATGATTCAACTACATTTTTTACCATTAATCCTTGAATCAGTGTGTTGACTGATTTTATAACCAATCCAGTGTCTAGTACCTTGATTACAGTGTCTCTGTCTTTGTTGGGATTGCATGGTGGGTATCTTCCAAAAGTCTTCGATAGAAGCGTGAGTGGATCAGAAATTTACAGTAAGATAGAAAACATAAATAATCAATGCTTAATATCATTCTTCTGAGCTCAAGAAGGGCATTATTAGGAGTAGCGATGACTTATTGATGAACAACAATCTCAAGAGTAACAACGTCCGTGTTGAAAGTGAGTTTTGAGGTTCTTATTTATAGTGGGAGGCAAGTTGGTATTATGTGCATCTAGGATTGAAATGATATGTCAATGTCATGTAGAAAATGAGCATCCATTTACAAGCGTCAATTCTTACTGTTAGTTTGACCGAAAATAGATTAATTTTGCTTAATGGGAACTTCAAAGTAGCTGCTCATTCACAAAAATCTCCCATTTTGAAATTGACTGTGGATGAAAACAAGTTTACGTGTGTATGAGGATTTGAACATTTGAATATGGATTAGAATGTATGTTTAAAGCTTTATTTGCTTGGGATATATTCAAGGGTAAAATTTTTGAATAATGTCAATGGTTTCTAGGAATACATGTTCAAGCTTGATGGTTCCATAGTTATGCCACCTCATTCTGAAAAAGTCAATAGCCAAAATAATTATCCTTAAAAAAGATGGATCCCCATCTTTTTTTATGGATTCCTATTTTGACTTTGACTTTTACCAAAAAAATTACCAGAACAATTTTTTTTTTTCCCAAGATGGAACCATCATCTACATTAGAAAACATGTATTCAAAAATTTAATGACCAAATGCACTCCAAGCGGATGACTTTGTACACCAAGCTCATGACCTTACATCTCAAACTTTTGGCCTTACATTTTAAACTTTATTACCTCGCATCTTGTTCACTAAGTTCTATTACTTACATACCAAGCTTAGGGCCTTGCACTTTAAGCTTATGGCCTCACACCCTAAGCATATATCATCTTGCATCTTGTGCAACAAGCCCTATTACCTTGCACATTAAGCCTTTGACTTTGTACTCCAAATCTATTACCTTGTACCTCAAGCTTATGATTTCGCACACCAAGCTTGTTTACTTTGCACATCAATCCTATGACTTTGTATAGTAAAGTTACATGTTAGCCTTTGAAAATGTAATGTAATTTTTATGTTTGTGGCTTGAATAATTTGTTGTCCATATTATTATTTTCTTGTAAACCGTCATTTTCAAAATAGTAGGTTATATTTTTATGAAATTTGACATTTATGGTGTGTAAGGTGATAGGCTGAGGGTGTAATGTGATAAGTTTGGAGTACATTCGGTCCTTAAATTGATCTTGTTCCCTCAAAACAATTTCCTTCAAAACGTTTAAGAGATTTTATGGCAATATTCCCATGAAAATACCTCAAACGAAAAGGTTGAGAGGGAGAAAAATAGTTCTCCATTAATGGAGCATGCTGATTGGCAGCTCTGTATCAGTCGGACCAAGTCATGATAACACCAACTCAAAATAACCACCTGGCATCTCCTTCTCTAATTTACTGATTTTCCTGTACCATCATCATTCGGTCTTGCAGTTATAAATAGCATCACTGTAACAACGACCACCCATATATGCCAACTAACCTCGTAAAACCATAGCTACACCCATTTACTATATAATAGCATCATTGTACCTTTGTTCAAAATGATGATTACAATATCATGTCCTTACGAAACCATCAACTGGCTCTCTCTCTCTCTCTCTCTCTCTCTCTCTCTCTGTATATATTGTGTGTATTATTGCCTAGCTTCAAATTAATATCATTCTTGGTGCTGTCATCATGACCCTAGGGCCGTGTATGACATAAAATAAGCAGTGCCTCAAATGGATTGTGGGTGTAGCTTATGACGTAGAAGGTGGAAATTAAACATGGATTATGTGGGATTAAAGGAAGAAGTGCACCTAACAAAATTTTTCAATTTGAAGTCACAATTTATAATTACACATTCAAGTGCGTAATGTTTTGAAGGAACCAAGTAAATGCTTTATATTCCTAGGGCTTGCATACATACATAATACATATAATATATATCTAAACATATCCATTACCATTATCGCGTGTATATGTATCAATTACCAGATTCATTAAATAAAAGCCACCAATCAACAACAGCAAAACTTGATTAATCAATTCAGAGTCATTGAGAGCAGCTCAATCTACGAAATTGAAGCCCTAAGCAGTTAAAACCACCGAAAACTCCACTATCGGATCGACCGTGGACCAACCCTTAGATCCGCCACCTTTGATCTCGATGCCCACAGATAGCTAGTTCATCTTCCGCCCATAGTTCACCAGAAGAAGCTATGGCTTCGTCCTCCTGGCTATTCTAGAGCTGCGATGAGAGAGATAATGAAAATTTAAAGAAGTGGTAGGTTACGAGTCCGTGTGGTTTCAGAGAATGACCAAACTTCATGAATCTCATGGCGTCCGAAACCACACCAACTCGTAATCTGCCATTGCTTTCATGCCTTTACTCTTTGGTTCTAAGGAAACTCCTAGATGCCCAACGCCATTTATAAGACAAACATGTTCCCTGACTCGGGCATGTTCATAGTTTTTTGTTATTCCCGTGTTTATGTTTTCTTTTTAACCAAAAATAAAAAATAATAAGGATTGGAATCCAATAAGTAGACTAAATTTACTGATTTAATGACTGTTATAAATAAATTATCAAAGTACTTTTCCTCCAAAAATTTATACTAATAGAATATTTTTTATATGCGTCATTTCTTTTAAAATACTCATTGAGAGAGTCATAACGACTTATAATATGATCTTAAAGTTAAAAGGTGTAAAGGTAAGAATGTAATTTTAAAGATAAAAAAGGTCATGAAAATGAAATTTGGGTCTTGACTTAATCAGGCTGTATTTTGTTGGTGCATTTGGGGATGGTGGAGTTATAAGAATTAAGTTTTAAAGTGATGATTTTAATAATGCGAGTGGATTTAATTAAAAAAAAAAAAGAAAAGAAAAGCTCAGATACATCACACTCCAAACGACTTCACCAACGTCCAGCTTTAGAGGTGCCCCTCCAAATAAGCTTTTCATTTTTTACCCCTTTAGATAAAAGGCAATATCATTATGTGGAAAACAACTTGACCTTTGGCCAGGTAAATAATAAGTTAGGAAATCTATAAGGGAAAATGGCAATTATATGAAGCTGACAATGATATTAATAACAATTGAAAATCTCAAAATATTGAAATGTCAAAGAAGGACTATAATCTTTATTTATAATTAAAATATTTTTAATTATTAAAATAACTAATAAAAGGTTACACGTGAATTTAAAGAAAGTTAATTGTGAATTTATAAAATTTAATTGTAAATAGATATTCAGAAACATAAAAAGGTCCCTAAATTATTGATTCACAATTAAGACTATCAATATCCATTCATAAATAATGTTCTTTATATTCACAAGTTACATGTCTAAAATCACAACCGCCCCTAAATCATAGATAATCATGAGATTTTCTATCATTTACAATTGAATTTTCACAAATTTATTAGTGACTTTTCTAAAATTCGCAAGTAATTATCTTTAAATTCATAAGTGATAATATATAACTTCATAAAATTTTTCATTTATTTATAATTAACTTTCCATTGATATAGTAATAATATTATTTAAATTCACAGTTAACTTTACTTAAATTTAAGAATTACATTCCATTGGCTATTTTAAAAATTATTTATTTTTAATTACATAAAAATAGTATAATTCTTTCATGACATTTCAGTTATTCGAGGTTTTCAATTACCATTAATGCCTTTACAAAGTGTCATTTTCTAAATCTGTATACCTCATTAACTATGTGCAAAGAAAAAACTGAAAATTTTTATAAGAGAAACAAGGATTGAAACTTATAATATCCACCACTAGACGGTCTCTATTTGGAAGAAAAGTCCACATGTGTTAAAGAAAATTGAAGATCCAAGATCTCTCCAGGTTTTTCCCATTTCCTTTTAATCGAACGAATGATGTTTTCCTTTCACTTTTAATCTTACGAATCCAAATAGAACAACCTTCAGATACTAATGAAAATTCCAAGCCCATATATATATATATATATATATGTGAAAGAGCTGCAGCAGTATGCCCAGAAAGTCACGATGAATGCTATGCTCAGTAGAAGTCGAGTACCCTGTTTGGGCTTTCATACTTTAGGACATAATTTATAAAAGAAAACAAACTTAGATCCCAAAAGATCGACAGAAATGTTTTAAAATATTTTTTTAAAAATAAGTTATAAATATAAATCCAGACAGTCACAAATATGTGAGTGTTACCTACACATGAAGCGTTTAATTTTCTCATAAGTATATGGGATTAATATTACAAAAAGACAATTAAATTAATTGAAATGTTATGCATAAGAAACAAGTTGGATAGTTAAAATGGAGGAAGGCATCAAGAGTTTTTAACAATTGAAAAGCTCCTTTTAAACTTTAATGAAAGTTTTACCAACTATAATAAAACTAGCAATGTTATATGGTGATAAATTTTTAAACATTGAAAGGACAAGGGCATCAATTTTGGGCATTGAGATGAAAATATTGAAATGAATGTATGGTCATATAATTAACTAAAAAAGATAAGATTTTCAATGATTATATAAGAAAATAAGTTTGCATGGCACCTACTAAGAAGCATATGGTAAAAAATCATTTAAGATGCATGATTTTGTCACATGCAAAACAAGTTAATAAGGGCATTAGTGGAGATTGGGAAAGGGGTGTTGGAAATTATGCCGTAGGGCCAATCATTGTCATATGCAAAACAAGTCAATAAGGACATTAGTGGAGATTGGGAAGGGGTGTTGAAAATTGCGCCCTAGGGCCAATCATTATATTATGCATGATTTTCTCATGTGCAAAACAAGTCAATAATGGCATTAGTGAAGATTGGGAGGGAGTGTTGAAAATTGTGCCCTAGGGCCAATCATTGTACTATACACATTATTATTTAATGAATTTTTC